TATATGTCACACATTAGAGTCAAAGTCAAAGAAACTAATAAAAGTAAAATATGAAAAGTTCAATTTTATTAAAACAACCTTCCATGCGCTGGGCATCCCTGTGCGTGGGAATGCCCTATAGGCGAGGTACATTTTTTTTTTTACTTTTAAATTTTAAAAAATTAAATTAAAAAATAACTAAAAATACATATTTAAAAATTATAAAAAATTTGAACTCACTTAGGAATTTATTTCTTATATAGTATTCCCCTGCGTAAAAGTTCTTTTCTAATTAAAAAAATTGAATCTTTCATCCAAAGCAATTATAAAAAGAATAATATTATTGAAAAATATGCATGATAAATTGAACCATATTTTTTTTAAGAAAAGTTTCACTCATGAATCATTTCTTAAGATGATTTATGAGCATTTTGGGATTTTTTTTTATAACAAGAAGAGTTTCATAAAGTAATGTATATGAGAATCACTTTTTAAAAAATGATAAATGAAAATTTCTTCATGAAAACATTTCTTAGAAGTGTGCTTAAGGAATACTTTTTAAAGAAAAATATTTTTTGAATGCTAGAAAACACTTTTTGAAACAATATAGAAGGAGTTTTTCTAAAAAAAGCATACCGTTGCATTATAATTTTTTTAAAATACACTTTAAAGAGTACATAAGAAGTGACTTTTGAAGTAACAAGTTCAAATATTTTTTTTAAGAATGCTAAGTAACAAATGTTTCTTATGGAGATTTCTTTGAATTAACATAAATAAATAAGATGTCTTTCTTGACATACGTTGAAATTTTTTTAAGAATGTTAGGTAACAAACATTTTTTAGGTAGATTTTTTTTTAATTAACATAAATAAATAAAATGTGTTTCTTGACAATCACCTTTGAAATGTAGGAAACATTACTTATCAGAAGGTAAGTGATGTACTTCACAAAAATTATGAGCGAAAATACTCTTGGAACAACATATGATAAATTCGTTTTTAAGAATTATTATTTAAATGTAAAAAAAAGTGTCAATACGAAAGTATGAATGAGAGATTTTTTTTTTTTAAATGATAGGTAATGAAAAGTATTTCATGAGAAGCATTTCTTAAAATTACACATGAATGTTATGAGAATTCTTTTGAATAATAAGAAGCAATTTTAAAAAAATAACTTTAAAAAAATACATCTGGAATACTTATTATGATAGCACGAGAGTACACCAAAAGGAAAAGTGAGAAATGGTTTTTAGTATAGCACTTGAAAAATAGTTCATTAGAATGATTTATGAAAATTTTCTTATGACAAAAACTTTTAGAATAATACATAGGATGTTCTTTTTAAGAAATATTTTGTAATGTGAAGTAAAATGATTAGTAAAGTGTTTTTTAGAAATAATTTTTTTTTATGATGTTGTGTGAGAATAAGAAAAAAGCAAATTCTTAAAAATTACATATATAAGCATTTTAAGATATTGAATAAGAAACGTTTTTTTATAATCATTTGTCAAAGTAATATAAAAATGAGCTTTCTTAAAATTTTTTTTGAAGTGACACACAAGTATTAAGTATGAGTAAAACATCTTTTAGAATAGTAATGTGACGTTTCTTAAGATATCGCATAAGAAATTTTACACAATAAAAGAATGAAAAATATTTTAACTGTCAATTTTTTTTTAAGAGTAAAGTAGTGACAATAAGAAAGTAATATAAAATACTTCAATTGTCAACTTTTTTTAAAGTTTTTGTATGTATGGGTAATGTAGTAGCAAAAAAAACATAAATGAGAGTAGCATAAAATTTTCTCTTTACAAAAGAAAGTTATAGAAGAAAATCAAATAACTATAACATCTAAGTTTTTTTTTTTAAAAAAAAGAGCTTATAAATGAGAGTTATGTAAGATTACAAAGATTGATTTTCTCTTTGAAATATTTTATATCTTATAGTGATGAAAATAGTAGAAGGCCACAAAGTGTTTATTGAAAGAACTTGTACCTAAACTAAATCAAATAATAAAACTTAAGATGTTTCGCTTCCTTTAGGAATTTTTTTTAGGAAAATTTTTAAGATTGAAATTAACTATTTTTTCAAATTTGTATCATCATATGTATGCACTATACAATTTTGCTTCATTATGTTTCAAAGAGTTTTAAGCATTTCATATGCAAATTATCTTCATAGTAAAGTGAACTTCTTAGCATATTAAAAAATATGTGATATAATAATATGTATATAATATAGTACTCGTGAGACTTTTCAACTTTTTTGTTCAAAAAATCTTAATAATATTAGCATTTCATCATTGTAATTGTAATATGTCTAGGTGTGAGGTAGATAAAGTGTATAATAGTAACACTAATATAATTATATATGTGACTAAGAAGAAATTTCGACTTCATATTAAGGAGATAATTTCTCAACCCAATACAAAAAAAATGTTCTATCCAAGTAAGAGCAATGAAGTTGCGACCAAAAGCATCAAGAGAAATAATTTACACATAGTACTTAAGAGATTGAGGCTAACAAAATAAGCGGTAAAGCTGTAACCAATAATTATATTCTAAATAAATAAGAGAGATAATTTTCAACTTAATACCAAGGAAGCTCACTTAATAACAAGTATAAACAATAAAGTTGCAATTAAAGAATGAGTGATATAATTGCGGCCAAAGAACAATTTTCAATTTGAAGATAATTTTCATCTTGACACTTAGGAGATTCATTTAATAGCAATTATCATCGATAGAGTAAAGGCCCAAAAATGAACAATAAAGCCGCGGTCAAAAAGTGATTTTCAATTTCATACTAGAGAGGATAATTCTCAAACTCTATATGTATTAAAGAGATAATTTTTGCTCAACTTAGTATCAAAGAGATTAATTTGATTCAAAGCTTGAAGTGTTAAATTGCAGCCAATAAAAGTAGATTCAACAGAATGGTCATATTGATTTATCAACTTTATATCTCAATTTGATTTTGAAGACAAATCTCATGTACAATTAAAGAAAACTCTCAACACAGTTGAGGGTGATGATTTTTTTTATTGAAGTTATAAAAAGACAAACATTTTCATCACTTTTACAATATTTGATAAATGAGCATGCATTAGAATAAACATTTGGTGGAATAATACATATTTTTTATTTTTCTCATGTTAACTTTTTTTTTTTCAATTAATTGAAATTCTCAAACGTGTATGCACTAAATAATTATAGTAAAGAAATGCTTGAATGGCTAAAATAGTAAAAGGTAAAGATTAAATATTTGTAATTGATTAAACTCTAATATGAAGGAATAAATGTTCTAACCATATTATTGCTCTACCATTGAGTATTCTTGTGGCATTATGATTTTTCATACTTAGTAGAGTTGCTTATATCATGTCTCTGGTGAAGTTCTATCCAATGCAATCGTTCCTCCCTAATGGAGTCATCAAAATGTAAACAGGTTGTTTGATGAGGTGAGAAAACATTGTAAATAAGTAAAACAAGATGTGTTGGGAGATGGCAAAGAGGAAGATTAAAGCAGACCTTAAGGTATTGAGTACAGCGACAGATGGTAGTAGGTCATAAAGCAAGATTAAGTAAGAAAAAGAATAAGGTTAAAAAAAGGATTCAAGAAGAGAAAATTATAGAGAGAATTGAGTAAATTTGTCATAAGTCTCTAAACCCCCCCCCCCCCCAAATGAGTTATGGGAGCTTCTATATATAGGTTTTCAAAATGAGAGTTAAATAACATGAGTATTAAATATAAATAATGGTGAATAATGGAAGAATTGATCATTACAAAAGGCATTAATGCATTATTTAATGAAAGTTTAATTAGTTTTTAATGATAGATATAGTGAACATAGAGGTTCACTATTTGTTTAGAAAAAAATAAAGAAGCACTCATATTTCAAGGAAGGTAACCTCTTAATTGTCTCTATATATGATCCAACAAGTCAAGCTCTCTAAAACAGTCCAATAGTGAAATTAACCCATGAACCTTGCCATATTTCAAATTATTTTCATTTCTAATTTTGGTGAAGCATCTATTGTGGAATAACTCTTAGTAAAATAACTTTTGGTGAAAGAGTTTTTGGTAAAAGTGTTGGTGTTGTTCCTTGAGAAAATTGTTTCGAAAACAGTTATTTTGTGAAGATATTGTTCCGTAAAGAAATTGTTCATTGAATAGTTGTTCCGTAAACAATTATTCTTTGAAAATGTTATTCCATGAATAATTGTTCTATAAAATAATTTTCACTGAAATAACTTTATTACCGATTGTGACCTATCTTTAATATTAATAACTTTTAGAGAAATTTAAAAGAACAAAATATTTAACCAAAATCATGTAGCTACACCAACATAAAAGGACAATAGTAATTTCGCAATTACATCATGGGTAAAGAACCATGGACACTGATCAGTTTTATTAAGTTTTAGCTTCTTTCCCTGTTGGGTAGGCTTGGAACAAGTTAACCTCATACCTTTTGTTGAAGTTATATGCTAAAGAATAATAGAAGCAGTTCTTATTATTTGAACTCTGCACCACTTGACAAAGAAACTCAGAAAGGAAACTCATATTCTGGATTAAATTCTATTATGTTTTAGGGTTTAAAGAAAATTTTCATTCACAAATACATATTATGGTTTACGTGTACAACAAAAAGAATAAAGCAAAAACAAATTATAGCTAGCAATGGAAAAGTGAACAGCTCAGTGATAAGCACTAACTTAGCAATGGCGCAATAGGCCTGGTCTTTTATTAGCATATCATCATGAACTATATATGTCTGAGATCAATATTTCGTTCACTTTATTAGCATGGATTTCTAGATCACTAAACTTTGCCACTAATGGTGATTAAAGTTTAGGCATGTAGAATTAACTGCCTTTTGCTTTACTTAGTAAACTTCAAAAGTGGGGGGCATCATATTCTTGATGTAATATTTCCAAGAAGCGGTGGAGATTGATCCAGCCACCAATGTTAAAATGCAGCCATTGTATCTGTTAGTTTATGTTAAGGAAAGGCAGAACCATGAAAAACTTTGTTTTATGTGTTGCAATGGTGCTGCTGCAATTGTCATATGCTGCATCAGTCATCCTCGTTAAAATTGCCTTCGCGAGGGGCCTCAATCAATTTGTCTTTGTAGCCTATCGACATACAATTGCCATGTTTTTATTAGGCCCCTTTGCTTATGTACTCGAAAGGTGAGAGATATCTTTGCAATTTGTTCATTAAGGTGTATGTGTATTTTGCTGCGCGTATTTTCAGTTGAGACTACAGCAGAAATTTGTTACACTTACTATTTGCCAGAGCATCGATAACAGCATTAACAACCTTTATCTAAACTTTATTTGGAAAGCAGGAAACGGCGCCCTTCACTTTCATATGGAGTGTTTGCAAAAATATTTTTGCTCTCATCACTAGGGACTACCATTTACTTTAATGTTTTCTATTTCGGTTTAGCATATACTTCTCCAACCGTAGCCTCTTCCTTGAACAATGTTATCCCTAGTTTGACATTTCTCATGGCAGTTCTTCTCAGGTAATCTTTACTGGATCAGTATTTCTTTTCTATATATGTGCAGATCCGCTTTTTAGCTTTATACCATTAGTTCAGCTTCAGCAGATGCCATTATAGCTTACTTTCTTTTCCATTCCAGGATGGAAAAGGTGAAGATTAGAAGTGCTAGTGGTCAAGCAAAAGTACTTGGAACAATTATCTGCATTGGTGGATCACTTGTTTTTACCTTCTGGAGAGGAGGGTATCAGTTGAAAAGCTTTGTAGACGGGCCTCTGATAAACATCTATAGTACCGAGCTGGGTTCTGTTGGAGAGTTAAGGCACGGCCAAGAAAACTGGCTCAAAGGCTCTTGTCTTATTCTCATTAGCACCATTGCATGGAGTGGATGGCTGGTTCTCCAGGTGAGTAAGATAGATATTTGGCTTCTAATATTACAATTCAATATGTATATCAAACTAATTTTCCTTTTTGATGAAATTCTTTTCTCCCAGGGAATAATATCCAAAGTTTACCCAGCTCAACTGTCACTGAATGCTTTGATTTGCTTCATTGCATCATTGCAATCTTGTTTGCTTGCGCTGTTCTTTGCTCGAGATCCTCTTTTGTGGAAGCTGGAGTGGAATGTGCAGCTTTTAACCATTATCTACTGTGTAAGTATTCTTGTTCATATCTGATTCAGAACTGAAATGAACTTAATCACCTTACACCTCATTTTTATTTCAATTGAGGGAAACAAAAATAGATTAGGGCAAAAGATGCTGGAACCAAGCTATATTTTTGCATGGATGTGCCAATAGTGTTAGCATTTTTTTATAGGGAATTGTGGGCACAGCGCTATCCAACTTCACACAAACATGGTGTATCAGCTACAAGGGACCAATTTTTGCTTCAACGTTCACTCCACTGTGCGCTGTCATTGTAGCAATATTTTCTGCAGTTGCTTTTGCAGAGAGACTTCACTTGGGCAGGTAATTAGTTATATTGACAACAGTAAGTTCGTTTGTTCCGGTGGCAAACCTTGCATTTCTTATCTGATAAATAATCCGTTTCAATGTTTGCAATTATGTTACGTCTTTGCAATTTTTCAGCTTGGTGGGAGCATGTCTTATCATCGTGGGTCTCTACATTGTACTTTGGGGCAAGAGGACAGACAATTTTGTGACTGGAAATGGGAAGGATAATGATGGTATACTGCTGGGGATTTCTGGAACAACAACTGATGATAAATCCATCTCAAGACCAGCACAAGTGAAGCAAAATGCTGAGAGAAATTAACTTTGCTCTTGCCAAAATCTCCAGTCGTTAAGACAGGAGACTTTTTGGAACCCCTGAAATAGCCAGTTGCTTCTATATGCTACCATTAATGCTACGATAATTGGCATAAACAAGAATGTGAATGTACTTTGAACTTGAAGATTATAAATTAAAATCCTGGTTGTCAAGGACAGCGATATTATCTGATCAAAAGAAGTAGGTTTTGTCATAGACATAGAGTAGTCGCATAATTATTCCCTAAACCTCTTTAATATGATTCTTACAAGGTGGCCACACTGCTTCATGTCCAAATTAAAATGCTACATCAGTTTCCAGATCTGCTGCTACTCATTCAAGAATAAATTGCATTTAAAGATTCTATAGAAAAAGGAAGAAGGGGCCAGCAAAATAAAAGCCTAACAATAGCAAAACAACAGACAAAACATGATAGAAGCATTCAGCCAGAAAGGAAGACTCAAATCCTAATGGATCTTGCATGGCAATAAAATTGATTGCAGGCAAAGAACCAGGATACATTTTACATTTCATTTTTTAGTTTCCTTCTTTCTCTTAGTGGAAGGCTTTTTGGTTTGCAGTACAAGCTCTGGAGGGCTATTTAATTGGTCAGTTTGAGGTTCCTCGGGCAGGGTACAGTGCAAAAACTTCTTGTTGGACCCAACTTGGGTGCAGAACAACTTTAACATTTTTCTCCCCCTCATCCATTTGAGCATTATCTTCATATGTGTTTTGCTGTTTAGTCCACCAATACCAGCTTCCTGTCATTAGAATGAAAAGCATCTAAATTAGAAACAAGGAGTTTGTTAACTATACAAAATAATAATAGCCTTCTATTCTATCCTTACAAGCTTTTTCCCTTCTTTCACCGAAAGATGAAGACTGCGCAATAAATGCAAAGCACAATCTTGGTAAACCAGTGCAATGCATGTCTCTGTTAGAAATATAAATAGAGCATAATATCCTAATGAACACAACCACACAGGTAAATATTCTTTAAATATGCAATACCAAATTATGCTACAGGCTAATTGTCAAGGTAGTTAAAATTCGACTGTGTTGCTTGGCATTGCAAAGCACTTATAATAACGCTTTTCCACAAGTACAAGGTGATAATGGAATTGACCAGGCAAAAGGCTCCCACTGTGTTTACCAATTACCAGAACATATTGACCGTACCTTATCCCCCCTCCTGCTTAAAGGTGCAGACATAACCCATGTGATCAAAAGGAAAGAAAAACTCAATATATCATCAGAAATTCACAAGAATTAAAGCAAACCAAAAACAAAAACAGAGCAAAAAAATATTTTACAGCATTATCAGAATAGTTGGTAAAAAAATACATGGGCAATCATTCTAATTCGCAAGAAACAAATTACAAGTAACTGGCAAAGAGATACGAGAAAATGAATGGAACAATTGTACTGACTATTGAATCATGATAATCAATTATCCACTAACTAAGATGTGTGACTTGGCCACTTTCATTTCAGAATCCTCTGGAATTATATCTATACAATTCATGGATAAATTTTGACATATCAAAAAATAAAATGATAAGAGAAATAAGTTTTTAAGCTCACAAATAACGCTACAAGACGATCTTGTATCAACAAGGCAACGAATGCATGATGAAATGGAAGGAAAAAGTAAACCTTCTACAACTAATGAACTGGGTATTTCAGAACTAGAGATGTAAATGATATATTAGTATTCGCAAATCACTCGGATTCGATTCGAATAAAACTCGAATTTGGCTCGATTATTATCGAGTCGAACTTAAGCTCAAGTAGCTCAATTTATCAATTAAGCCGAGTTCGAGCATTCTTATATTCAACTTGAGTAGCTTACGAGCCTAATCAAAATTTATATTTAAATATATTTTTATTATTTTAATAAATAAAATATCTCGATCTTGAGCTCAAGCTCGAATATTTTTATATGTTAATCGAACGAGCTCGAGTAGCTTGATTTTTATATCGAGTCCGCTTAAGCTAAAAAAATAAAACTCAATAAAATTCAAGTCGAATTTCGAGCCTCAAATTTGAATGAGTTATCGATTTTAATACTATATCGATTTTAACTCTATCGATTACGTCCCTATTCAGAACTTCATCAAAAGAAACGATTCAAATCACAAAAACACAGTAAATAATAATATTTTAATTAAAAAAAAAAGAAAGAGGACCTTGGCGTGGATCCAAGTGTTGGGAACGGTGAGAGGACCGTGTTGCTTGATGACGTCGTAGAGAGAACTGGCGATGGAATGAGCTTCTGGAATGGGTACCTTTGGGTTGATCTTTCTCACATTCACTGCCCCAGTCCTCGACACGTACCGAACCAACAAGCTCCCAACGCTACCATTCCCTCCCTTTATGTTGTTCTTCACCACCCCAGCTAACCACATCTTCCTTCTGTTTCTGATTGCTCAATTTTTTCACAGCTTATTCGTCTGATGATCTCTAGCTTACGAGCTTTTCCGATTTCAGGGTTTTAGGAAACCCAGGTAAGACGAGCTTGTCAAATGGACAATGGGGCCCATTTTTTGTGCCTTTTGGGTGATTAAAGTGGGCCCCGTTTTGCCTACCCAATAAAACAAGAAGTTAAAGTAAATGAGTGGTGAGGTAAAGAATGAAATGGGCCTTTTGTCTCCCATCCATTTACTCTTTAGTCAGTTTCTTTGTACTTTTTCCTTAGGCCAGGCAAAATATAATGGTAGTTTTTTTTTTTTTTTTTTCCTCTCTTCTTCTTGTAGTCTAGGAATTTTTGTGCTAATGGATGGAATAATTTTTTTTCAAAAATAAAAAAATTTGATGAAACATGAGGAGAAAAGATTAATCCAAATTTGAAAACTAGAAACTTTAATTTCAAATTTTTAGTATTAAAGGCATAACTATGTTGGAAAAAAACTTTAAAAAAAAAAAAAAGAAGACATGCACATGGCAATTGGAAAAAAGTAAAATTAATAAAATTAAAATAAAAAGATATTAAAAGAAATAAATAAAAAAATATATGTGGAAATCTAAAAGAATAAAATTAAAAAGCTTTTTTTATATTCGGGGAGTAAAAAAAAAAGGCGAAAAAGTAGCGGTCCACTTGCCTTTGCCATAAGGCCATCCCTCCCTCCGTATCAATCTGTCTTTACCTTTTTTTTTTTTTTTTTCTTTTTTCCTTCCCCTCGGATTGAAGACAAAGAGACGACTTTCTCCACTCTCCTCCACCCGTCTTCGCATTTCATTTTCGTTCATCTTGACTCTCAGTCTCAGGTTCACTCCTTCCCCTTTTAAATTTTTTTATTATTAATTATTTATTATTCGACCCATCTGCTATCTTTACAGTCACGTTTCTACACGATTTAAATTCTTCCGAGGTTGTTGCTCATTTTTTAATTTTAGTATTTTTGGTTTTTCAGGTAAACTTCTTCGTCTTTATCTCCCAGCTGTATGCTCTGTTTCAATTTCTTTAGATTATGAATTATCTTTTACTCTTCATTTTTCGATTCTATCAAATTTTTTTCTTTTTTTTTTCTGAAAATTCCATGGTTTTGAGTTGCGATTCTGCTTTTGACTTTGATATATGCACTTGGATTCATTTGCCATTCAATTTCTGGTTAGCTTTTGCTCTTATTTAAACCCAAGAGCATGTGAGAATTTTTATTATATAAAGCTATTGTGTATGAGAGTAACTACTGAAACCCTTTTGTTCATCGCCGTCTGTTGATATTGTTTTCGACATCGATCTGCTTGAAAAACCTGTTTATGGATTTTGAGGATCGCGGTCTTTACTTACTAGTAATTGTAACTTTTAGTTACTGAAACTAACTGGTCAGATCTGTAACTAGATGTTGTCTGAATTAATAAGAATTGCAATGAAGCTTAATAGAAACACCAACTTCTGGATATATTCAATATACAGTTTCCTTGACTATAGCATGTTTATTTTTAGAAAAGGAAAGTGTTAATAAATGGACTTTGGCAGTGTTAGATATTTTATTAGGCTTACATTCACTTTGTAGCATCAGCTGACTGGATGTGCTTGCTAACCTACATGTCTTCGCTCAAGATATCATTTAAAAAAGTCTGTGCTGTTTTTGAAGTTTTTAGTGTCTTGCATGATGTATCAGTGCACTCATTTCTTGAATAATTGAGGGACTACGATATTCTTCAAATGGATGATCTGCTTGTGTTTAATTATTAGGTCAATCTAAAGTATGGCAGAAACTGAAGACATTCAGCCTCTTGTTGTTGATAATGGGACTGGAATGGTTAAGGTGAAGTTAATCTGTTATTCACTTTCTAGTGCCTGTGTTTTTCATTTTAAGGGTATAAAGATTTAATAGCCCCCATTTGTGCTCAAACAGGCTGGGTTTGCTGGAGATGATGCTCCTAGGGCTGTCTTTCCTAGTATTGTTGGACGGCCTAGGCACACTGGTGTCATGGTGGGGATGGGACAGAAAGATGCTTATGTGGGGGATGAGGCTCAGTCCAAAAGAGGTATTCTCACATTGAAATACCCTATTGAACATGGTATTGTTAGCAACTGGGATGACATGGAAAAGATCTGGCATCACACTTTCTACAATGAGCTTCGTGTTGCTCCTGAAGAACATCCTGTGCTCCTGACCGAGGCACCACTCAATCCAAAGGCCAACAGGGAGAAAATGACTCAGATAATGTTTGAAACATTTAATGTTCCTGCTATGTATGTTGCAATCCAGGCAGTTCTATCCCTTTATGCTAGTGGGCGTACTACAGGTTTGTAGTAGTATGATGACTCATTTGAGACAACATTATGTTCCTCAAAGTTGAATGCTAATTTGCTGACAATGCTGTTATTTCCAGGTATTGTGATGGATTCTGGTGATGGAGTTAGTCACACAGTTCCTATCTATGAGGGTTATGCACTTCCCCATGCCATCCTCAGGCTTGACCTTGCTGGACGAGATTTAACAGATGCACTGATGAAGATCCTGACAGAGAGGGGGTACTCATTCACCACAACTGCTGAACGAGAAATTGTACGTGATATCAAGGAAAAACTTGCTTATGTGGCACTTGACTTTGAGCAGGAGCTTGAAACTGCTAAAAGCAGCTCATCAATTGAGAAAAGCTATGAGCTACCTGATGGTCAGGTAATAACCATTGGAGCAGAGCGTTTCCGTTGTCCTGAGGTCTTATTTCAACCATCCCTTATTGGAATGGAAGCTCCTGGAATTCATGAGACCACCTATAACTCAATCATGAAATGCGATGTTGATATTAGAAAGGACTTGTATGGTAACATAGTGCTTAGTGGTGGGTCAACCATGTTTCCTGGTATTGCTGATCGAATGAGCAAGGAAATCACAGCTCTTGCACCAAGCAGCATGAAGATTAAGGTGGTAGCACCCCCCGAGAGAAAATATAGTGTCTGGATTGGTGGGTCTATTCTGGCTTCCCTTAGTACATTCCAGCAGGTATGGATTATTGCTTTCACAAGGATGTTTTATTTTTAGTTTCCCTTTTATTTGCTGTATGAGAAGAGTGACTTTAATTCTTGACTAATGTAAAAGGCTGAAGAGTTGATGTTGACAAAAGAGCCTTGCCCTATTGGAACAAAGAAAGACTTAACTGAAACTTAAGCCTTTGCTAGAAATTGTAGATTTAAGGGATAATGCCTCATCTGGCCCCTGAACTGTTATAATCTTTCTAATGTGGTACTTAAACTAAAATAATTTCTAATCAGATACCTAAAATTTAATTCTGTGTATTAAGTTGCCTCAACCCCTTAACACTGTTAGAATAATGTTGATGTGGATGACAGGTGGCTGACTTGTGACTGCCACATGTCATTTTAAAGAATAAAAATGAAAAAATTTTCTTTGAAGTTATATTTTGAACTTTTTATTTTTTAAAAATGACACATGGTAGTCACATCTAGACATGTGGCAGCCACATGTCATCCATGTCAGCATTTAAATGTCACATCAGTATTATTTTATTGGTGATAAAGGTTGCGGTAATTTAATACACAGAAATGTAGTTTGGGTACTTGATTAGAATTTTTTTGTTTAGGTACCAAATTAGAAAAAGTGCAATAGTTTAGGGGCCAAATGGGGTATTATCCCTAGATTTAAATAGGAGAATGAAGTTACTTACTCACTGGATCTGCTTAATGTGCTTTCCATCTTATGTTGAATGCTTCTGATAATCTTGCATTTTCTATAGCTGAAGTTCTGCTTATTTATACTTGTATTCATTATTCAGAGTTCAGACAATGTTACTTCTTCGATTAACTCTAATGTTGTGTTTTTGTTTGCATTGAATGTAGATGTGGATATCAAAGGCAGAGTATGACGAATCAGGGCCTTCCATTGTTCACAGGAAGTGCTTCTAGTTATGTGCTTTTGTTTTTTTTTTTTCAATGTTTCCATCTGCATTTCGTGGTTTTGGATGGTCGGTTTGGCTTGGTTTTCATTTTGTTTGATTTTTTTCATTTTTATCCTTTATAATTATGGATGTATGAAACATGCTGAGTTGATATGTATGATAATATGCTAGATTTTTTTGTAGCGTGAACAGATAATTAATGTATTCTATCATGAATTAATGCTTTATTTTTTTTTTCCTTCCTTTTGTCTACATTGTATCTTAAGCAAAGCCAAACGGTTAAAACCAAAAAGTTTAATGCCAGAGAAGCGTGTGACTTCCAGTATAGATCATTAGGCATCGATTGGCTGATGCTTTTCAAGAATGTTGGATACAATTGTGTAGCAAATCAGTATCTACTTGCGTGCACTTATCTACATTAGCTTTCTATATTTGCCCAGAAAGTAGAAAAGTTGCGTAGCATTGATAATTGTTCGCACCACTTGAAGCAGTGGTGGGACAGTGTTGAGATTAAGGTTTGAACTTAAAAATGAAACACGAAAATTTTTTTTTTCTTTGAAATTTTAATGAAAGCATTGTTTTGAAAAAAGAATTCTGGCTTGCAAGCTACTTGTAGATTGCATAAGAAATTAGAATTGGCCAATGATCCCACGAAGCAAAATCTCCTAAAATTCCTAGTGGAAGAGACTGTTTCAGGATCTTAAAATTTTAGGAGGGCAATGGTAAAGGATCCAGTTAGAAGGCCTAACTAACTAGGAAATTTGAGCAGCCTGGAGTTAGGATCAGAGAGAAATGCGAAGCAGATGGAATTGGAAGTTCTTAGTGCACGAAGTTCAACTGTCTTCCGATACAAAAAGAAACTTTATTGTTGGAAGTTGAATGTTAGAGGCAGAGGCAGTGCCTCAGAGAAAAAGAAAAATGGATAAAAGAATACCAGAGGCAGAGAATCTGCTAAAGCATTGTCGAGCGTCCGCCAAAAACTTGTCATCACTAGAAGTCCTGAAGCGATATGGGAAAGTCTCACTCGTACCTACTCAATGGAAACCGTTCTAATTTTCACAGATCTCTGTTTCTTCGCGGGTCCCCTTATTACTATTTTACGTCTTCAAAATTCATTTTCTTTTTGTCTTAATCAACCATGATTCTGGCTAATGTACGACATGTTTGACATGATTTGAATTGAAGTTCAATAATTCGTAAGAAAGGTTTCGAATATGTTAAATACGGAGGTATACTCGTTGAAAAAAAATGTACAAGCCAGTTTACATACATAAGCTTTGAAGAAGAGCAGCCAAAGTCTGCTACGGTTCCCGCTCGGGCTTCACTGGTTGGGAACTGTTGTCAACGCATTAGTGGGTAGTTTCTTCCGAGGATGGAGACGGAGAGAGACAACTACAACGGCAAGTGGGACAAGAGGAATGGGAAGATAACCACTGCTGGATACATTGCACATGGAATCCATGCTTACACTTTGCCAACACTTGAATTCCCTCTCCCTCCACGAATTCAGACAAGCAAATAGCACATTCCGCCTCTTCTCCGGCCAGCTCCACCCCGGTTGAGTAAACCAGAGTAGGAGATGCCACCATGCGTGCTGCAGCTGTCTCTGGGTCGGGCTTTCTCTGCTCAAGTTCTTGATGGGTTTGGGGAAGGTTGTCGTTGTTGCGGGAATGACGTGGACTGCCCCCACCACGGCCACGTAAGAAGCAGCGGATGACTGCATTAAGAGCCAGAGAGCATGTTAGGGCACAGAAGAGAATCATTAAGACCATGGCTACGTTAGCTTCAAAGTCCTTTGAGTTGGAGTAAGGCCGCCACCTGCAAGTGTGGGGTTCACACGTTGATGTTGAAGTGGAAGACATTTGTGGTTCCCCGGAAGAAAACGGTGGGGGCATGTGGATGAGGTGTTGAGCGGTTGCTGGTGGCGGTGGTCGCATTTGGTTTTACTAGTATTTTGTTTTCCTTTCTCTTTTTTCTGCAACGTCGCCGTTTTGGCTTCTGATTCTAAGAGCGTTAGAAAGGGAGGTCACCTCCAAGTGGAAACGAGGATGTTTTATAGGCATATTATCCCCTAGCAGGCATCAAGAAATGCATACGTGCACTCGACGTTTAACAATTCCTTGTCCATGGTTATTAAATGCTGTTAACCTTGTGGGGTCTTAGACCCTGTTAATTAACTCCTTTTTCACCTCCACATTTTCTCCTTGCATAAGTGCGAAAAAAAAGCTTTGCGAAAAAAAAAAGCCTTTTTTTCCTTCCCTAAGTAATCACAAAAATTATTCTCTAGCTTTTTCAATTCTTCATCACCTGAAGTCAGCAACAATCAATGTTACGCAAACTGTTTCCGGAAGCTTTTTTCTGTAAAATTAAATCAAGGCCGGCCCCTTCTCTGTTTTCTTTACTATTTATTTAAGAAAATATTCTACATGCTGTCTTGCTTTCAATACTCGTTCCGAAATGTTCAAGCTGCCAAGCACCTAGTTGATTCGAACAATTTTCGAGAATCTATGCAGCATTAATGTTATGTGGCAATGGGCTTCTTATTGTGCTTGTATCTCTCTCTTAATCATAGAGTGGAAGCGTCGTTTACGCAATTCCACATATTTGCCTTTTTAATGGGCCTTGAAGGGGTCACAATCTAACAACCGAGTAAGAGATGAGAGACTTAAATGTTTATGATGTTAGAAGTAATATTGTGAAATGAAATGTAAACGCTTATCCTTTACCCAAGGAAAAAAAAGCCACAGCGCCGCTGGGATGCCAATGGTTTGAAGCAACTTGTTAATGACTAGTTGATTAGATCATGGACGAGTGTTTAAGTTAAGCAACGTTGAGAGGGAAGAAAAATACTTGCATGAAGTTGATAGGCATATTTCAACGAAATTTTTTATTAAAAATAAATAAAATTAAATTAAAATTTAAAAATTAAAAATTAAAATTAATAGATTAAAAATATTTTATTATATAGATTAACTATATAAAATTTTAAAAATTTTTAATAAATTTTGATATATTTATTAAATAGATATTTTAATAAAAATATTAATAAAATTTTTACCAATAATATATATTAAATTTAAATTATAAATAATATTTTTAAAATTTTTACATATTATTAATTTTTACATTTAATTATCAGTTTAAATTTTTTATTAAAATATTTATTTATTTATTTTTAATAAAAAAATTTATAAATATCACTTATTAAACTTTACGTAAGTTTTCTTCTTGGAGTAATAGTGGTTAGGATAAGTATGCATCACCTTTTACACAGGTAGACCCAAGGGAAGGCCTGAAAGCCTATAGAAGAGGGTACTCTGGACAAGTGGATAAGAGTTTCAAACCCAAAGTGAAGGAAGATGCTGATTGGTGATTTTTGGTGGTATTAGCTGAGAGTGACAGAAAAAGGTCTGTCAAAGATGTAAGAGAAAATAATTCCCGGCAAAGTGTTCTTGTGGGATAAAGGAGAGAGAGAGACAGTCGGGGAAATAAGCTAAGGTCCACGTGACGAGAGTAAATGAACATCAACATGGCTTGGCATTATGGCAGGACGCTGGCTTTTAGACAATTACAATCCACGGATGTCGTTGTTGACTGCAGCAGATACCAGGCCCACCAGTTGCCATTATTACCAAAAACTTCTTCGAGAATTCAAGGTGCGTGCATCTAACAGCAAAACGAGGAGCAATACTGCCTATCTGCCTTTGCCTCCAGGCAACTGCACAGTGGCACATCTAATTCTAATGAATAATGACAAATGCTTTTTACCCACTTTCATACTATCAACCAATATGTTTTGTGGATGTTGCTTTCTTCATAGTACGATAATTTTGACCATTTACTCATTTCCTTAATGTTGTCTATTAATATAGCAAAAAAAAAGAACTAGATCATGCCCAGAGATGACAGAACTACATCTCATCGTCTGCCCGTAATGTACTTCTCAACCAACTGACTCTCTTTTTTTGTTTTTTCTCTCAGGATAATTTCGAACAGTGCTGATGTCAAAGCCCTTACTGTTGAAAGTCTCGAGCAGACAGAAGCCTTGAAGGCTTAAACAAATGTTCGTTGCCTACTCTAGATGCCAGAGTTCTTATAATATGTTTAGTCAATTTATTCGAAGGGGCTCTAGCTGCCAAAGATTATTCATTGATTGCAAAACGGAAAAGCCTTAAGAATATACATTTCTTTTCCCGTTAACTGCGATATGGGATTCGATTTGAAGTTGTAGACCAAAAAGCTACGTGAAGTTTATGAGAGACATAAAGCTAAATAATAATAGAAACACAGGAACTTGAAAGCAGCTATAGATTTGAATATTTTGTAACGTGGTTCGCTGAAATTTTCACAGTTAGAGACTTGTCATACAACCATTAAGATATATTTAAAAAAATTATATGATAATTATTTATACCGAGTTGTGATCTTAGAGTATTTTTTAAAAGATAAAAGAAAATGATGGTTAGAGGTATAAATAGGGAGTGTTTTCTATATTTATACTCTTACATGTAAATAAGAATTAGTGAGGTCAGAAGAAGAGCAATAAGAAAAATTAAGAGTAGATTGAACTTTCTTTAATTGTGTCTGGACCTTTATATTTATAGATAAGCGATATAGGATCATTAGGGGACAATAAGGATGTGGTTGAGCTGTTATGGCACTGAGTGTGTCAGATCGATTTGACATGTCAGGTCGGTACAAATATCAAAATTATTTCTGACTATCCGCTAAAGGCTTCTAACGTAGAGAAAGACCATTATACCATTTTGACCACTAAATGCCCACAATATTATGTCCCTTCATCAAATAGTCTGAGTATCAGACTACTAGGTATGTGATCGACACATTCTGTGTAAGGCAGATAGATAAAAAAGATGACATCAAATTTGATTTTTTGTAGCTGACATCATAAATAAGGTCGACATTGGGATACCATTAGTCCTTAAATTGTAGTCAGACCTAATAGGGGTTTATTCTTGCCCTATGTCTTGGGTTGAATGCATAGCTGGCTTGAAGGTCGTCAATGTGTCAATTGTTTAGGATGAACTAAAGTTAGTGTTGGAGTTCGTCTAGTTAACATGGGACTTATGTTTTATTTCAAAAGTTTCAATTCGAGTCTCTACTTTAAACTCTGATGACGAATCGGGTGTCTAGTCTGTCATGAGGATTCATTCGATTTGGTCGATCTAAATTTTTTTATCTCAAAAGCTTTTCAGCCTTAGGGTTGTTCTTTTTATTGCTCATTTTCTTTGTTTTCTTCGATTCGTACTTTCAATTATGTTTTTTAGTTTTAGTTTTAAGGAGGTCGGGAGTTTTAGGGTAAAACCTAAAAGGGTCAGCTCGAGCTAGACGATGTTGACCTAATTTTGTCAATCATCGAAGGTCATGATTATCAAAAGATAACATTCTGATTCAACCCGATGTCTAAAGAAAGGTAGCAATAAAACGAAGACAATGCTTAGGCTAAAGGAGAACAGGTCTTGAGCATAGAGTAATTATGTGCTCAAATATAGTTTAACCTACAAAATCCACCTCTTTTCCTCATTTCTCAAGTCGATCCATCTTCTATGGCTAACCTTCTTTTATCTTCAGTTGTTCCTCTTTCTAGGGTTCAATCTCATCAATTTTTTTCTACTTCTACTTTTTCACTTATAGATACTTTTATTGTCACTTCTATTCCTTTTCAATTAATTCTTATTGAGATTACTTCTTCTCCTGAAGGGTCTCGACCTCGTCCCTCTTCCTTCGAAGTCGTGTTACTTTCAGCCATAGTTTAACCTCAAAATCTTACTCCTGCTCAAGAGTTAGAGTCTTCTGACAGTGAAGATTTTGACAATAAGGATGATTTTAAGAAAAAATAGAGGAAAAAAGTACTTCAACTGGAGAAAGTGATGGTAATGAAAGAAATCCTATGGAGCAAGATGAGTTGATTAAGGTTCTTATATATACTCTTTATAATGTCAATATAATCTTAAAAGATGTGATGAGAGAACTAAAGGGCAGGGCTAATCTTGAAGACTGTCCTAACATGTGTTTAACTCATCATGTTCGTGCTTTGGCTACAACCTTTCTTTTTCTTAGAGAGAGGAGAGATATAGCATATTGATGTCGAACTCTTCAAATTGAATCACTGATAAACTGTAACCACATCTACTCTATGTATATTGAGATTCATTCATGACTGATCTTAGGTTTCCACTTCATTTTTTGTTTGTTTCAATTTTTAAATCTTACAATTTAATTATCACTCAACTCACTCTTAACTATGTATGGTAGGCTTTATCATTTTTTGTTAACATCTAAATATTCTTTCCACTCTCTTTCTATTTAGAGAATTTTTTTTATTAAAAAATACTTTAGTGATAAAATGTGGTATTACTTAACAACTCGACCTAATAAAAAATTATTCACTGATTGCCCGAGCTTTATAAAAAATTAAAAGCTGCTCTTTCCCTACCTTTAAAACTAAAAAAAAAAAAATGATAGTGAAATAAAAGTCAAGACAGCTGTCAAGGTTGAAGTATGAGATATAATAAATGATCCTGACATTTTTGTGATATAAAAATAGCTCTCTTCATCCTGGATCTATCAGATCAGGATAAAATAATAAAGTATACTAGTAGGGAGAGCTTGTCATTGATGCCCACAAGTTACCTTTCTCGAAGTAATAAATGAGATAAAGTATTAGAATAGGTGTGAGGTAACCTCGAAAGATTTTATTTTAACCTAGTTTTATCTAACTGTTAGTTCGATTTTGAAGAGATGTTCGTCAATGAAAACTTTAACTTTTCCCTGTTTCAGCATGTCCTCAAGCTCAAAAAGGCTCGGATAAAAAAATTCAGCTCAAGATCCCCTCTCATAGAGAAGACAAGGTTATTAACCCTTTAGCTTAGCACTCCTTTATAGTCTAAAAAATGAAGTCCACGACTTATTAGAAGCTCTTTGTAGCATTTATTCCTGCCAAAAAATCAAAAATCGAGGTCTCTTCTTTCATCTTAGAGAATTTGAAGCAAAGGTGCTAAGGTCAAGCTCAGAAAGAAATTACACAAGGTTGGAATATACACCCATTGATAACCTCACCGAGAAC